TGTATATCTCTCTCTCTCTCTCTCTCTCTCTCTCGCTCTCGATCTCTATATCTCTATATATATATATATATATATCTCTCTCTATATATATATATATATATATATATATATATATATATATATATATATATATATTAATATATATATATATATATATATATATATATATCACTCATTTAATTCACAGTTTGTTTTGTGGGACTCCATTGTCCCCTAGCTACATGCATTACACACACACACACATGTGTGTGTGTGTGTGTGTTTTGGTGTTGTGTGGTGTTAAAATTTCTTTGTGCATGTTGTGGATTATTTGTACACTAGCATGCACATTTATATAATTTGTATATATGTGACTCGTGCACTGCATTAATATTGGAGAGCATTTTATTTGTTTATTTATTTTTGGTTAAATAATTATATTTGTTTTAATTTATAATTTATGAACTTATAATTGAAATAGGTTTCGGCATCGAAGGTGCTGCAAGAGACGTGTAACTACATAAGGAGCTTGCACAGAGAGGTCGATGATTTGAGCGAGCGGTTATCGGAGCTTTTGGAATCGACGGATGGCGAAAGTGCTCAAGCAGCCATAATTAGGAGCTTGTTAATGTAATATTAATAATAGCTAATTAATTAATTAATACTTAGTTAAATTACTAATTAATTATGATATATGCTCTGTCAATTGTTGTCTCTAGGGTTTGGTCACTATATTAGGCCAACTTAGGACTTTTTAGCTACTTTGATGCTATATTGTATCTTTATAGTATCTTTAGCTATTTACAAAATATTATTACTTTGCCTTTTTGTTAAGTCACATATATATTTTTATATATATATGTATATGACTTCCATAATTAAAAAAATATTTCCACACATATATTTTCATATGCTTCAAAAAATTTATGTTTGCTAAATAATTAATTAACTCAGAGAAATATTGCTTATTTATTTAATTAATTTGGCGACAAACGTTTTTTTAATGAGAAAATAACCTAATTATTATTGTTTTTTAGAATAAATTTGCAGATATCAGTGTTGGGGACATCAATTTAATGTCTTTTTTTTTTTTTTTGATAATTCAATTTAATGTCTTTTACTTCACATATATACATAAATATATACATCTAAATTAGCACGTTAATCAAGAATGAATGGAATTGCAAGAATAGAAAAATATGAAATAAATTAATTAATATAATACTCCATCAACATGAACGTACGTGCAAAGTCAGCATTGGTAACTGCATATGAAATTAGAATTTAATTATTTGGAAAATATCCTTCTAGCATAGTAATATAATTGTATATATATATATATATATATAGTTTCAAGAGTAGTTCAAAAGGTTTTGGAGAAATAAATAAATAATTAATTAATAGGAGTTCAAAACATTGACATTGGATATATATATATATATTGCATGCACGAATTGGGGTTTGCTTGTCTGCAACATATATATATAGATATTGAGTCCTTAAAAGCGTGCGAGTGGTTTCATTCTCGGGAACTGAAAACAGAAAAATAGGAAGAAAATATGCATGCATGCACACCGGAATATGTATAATTATATATAACTTCATTTTCTAAATAATTAATTAAATGTTGAAAAATCTGAAATAATTTTAATATATAATAATAATTAATAGACGTACGCTAACTATAAATTTATTATTATATATATATATATATTTCTCCGATACGAGATTCGTTGAATTTATTCAAGTTACAATACATATACATATATGTCAATAATAAATGAATGGTTTTGTTGGTTGCCTTGAGAGATAGGGAATTAATCTCATCTTAAGTTGGTTCTCTGTATGAGGTATATTTGCCCGAACATGGTGGCTGAATTTCAGACCAGTGGCCAACTGCCCGAACCTTCGTTTTGTTTCTTCTTACATTTAATTTGTAATTTATCTTATCCTTTAATTTTATTTATTTAGTAGGCCTACGAAATATTATATCATTAATATCTCATTTATCTAGATAAAATTTAAAAATAAAATAAAATCATTCAATATCTCATGTATACTTTATCAAGCATGCATGATTCGTGAGGGAAGGGGAATTGCATATGGCGGCTAGGGAAGGCGTGCCTCCACTATATATATATATATATATATATATATATATATATATATATATATATATATATATATATATATATATATATATATATATATTTATTTGAATAATATAGTGTCGTTAATTGGCGGTTTTGTACATGCTACACCAGGTGAAATACATAAATATATCAGGTGATTCTGCACTGTTGATTTACTCGTAGTGACACGTACACACAATGTGGGCTCAGTGGGTGATTGTTTGTACGGATCTATGGTACGGCGCAAAATCACCCGATACTTTTCACCGGGCCGTAGCATCATCTCGTATCAACGCGCCATTAATTGGCTTCCTTACGGAAATTTGTAGTATATTTGTTTAGTATATTTGAGAGAAAACCCGAGAGGGAGTGCTGAATTGGGCTAGAGTATAAAGCTTGGGCTGCTTTTGCGTTAAGTGGGCTGCAAGTGGAGCTTCTATTTGGGCCTTATTATTCAATTAATAAAGTAAAGACGTACAATATAGTACATTTTCGATTATCGTGATTATTAGCATAATTAGAAGAGTAAACTGCAAAATGTACCCCTGTGTAATCTCTAAATAGCAAAAACCCCCTGTGATAAATAAACTAGCAAAAACCCCCCTGTGAAATTTAGTCAAAGGCAAAAACCCCCCTGGTTGACTTGTGTGTGGTACCAGATAAGTGGAATCCGAAAGAGAATGCTGGCATCGAAATGGTTTTTATTGACGAGGAGGTGAATGTGCTTTTATATTTTTTATTATGTTTATTTTTTATATATTTATGTTTCGAGTATTCAAAACATAATTATCCTTCTGACATTTATCTCAGGGTATGCGGATTCATGCTAGCATAAAAAAAAATGCTCATTCGTAGGTATCAAGAGTTGATGAAAGAAGGCACCAACTATATTTGTAAAGAATTTCTTTGTGGTTGATTCAAATGGTTGCTTCAGAGCAACAACACATAAGTTTAGACTGAATTTTATGGGATGCACAAAAGTTATCGAAACATCAGCCGATAAGATTCCATCAACCCATTTTTCAGTTTGCTACGTTTGACACAATCAAACAAAATGTGGATGAGAGCTTACTGTTTGGTATGTAACTACTCATATTAGTCTACTAATTTTATATTGATTATATCATTAAATGTTGATGTGTTTTCCTTTGACTTGCTAATTTATTTAATGTTGCAGATATAATTGGCCACGTGGTTGAGAAAGACCCTATAAAGGAGATCAATATAAAGGACAAGGACAAGAAAAGCAAGCTTTTGGAGATTGTCGTCCACTACAAAAAAAGTGCTTTTAAATAACAAAACAATGGTAACAACCAAAAAATTTGTCACGAGAAATAGTTTGTTGTGACGAATAAAATGTGTTGTTACAAAAAACTCATGTTTTAGTAACGAAACCAAAACTGTGTTACAAAAAGAATGATTTCGTCACAAAACATTAATGTTTTGTTGACAACTAAATATGTTGGTTACAAAAAAATTATTGTTGTTACTAAAACATTTTTTCTAGTAACAACAGAGTATGTTCGTTACAATTACTATAAAGTTGTCACGATAAATTTTATTCTTTAGTAACAACTATTCGTCTTGTTACAACAAGTTAACAAATCACCTTTAATATTTTCTGACTTGTTAATTATATCACTAACGAAAGAAGTGCCTAGGGTTTCATTTTACACATTGTGCACACAGTCGCCGCCGTGATTCCACCATCGCACACACAGTCGCAGCCCTTTCCGATTCGACCATCGCACACCACCGCATCGCACACCACAATATCACCTCCAACACCTGCTTATTTGACGACTTCATCACCGGCGGCGGCGGTAGAGGCTATTGGGCGAAGTTGCAGAACTGTTGTTTAAGGTATTGTTTTTATCTTTAATCGTTTGCAGAAAAGCATTGTTTCTCAAATTAAGGGATTCTCCTAATATAGTTCGCTTTTTTCTCGTAAGTGATAAATTGTTAGGTCGGAATCATTTCACTAGTTTCTTAATAGATTTAGTAAAATCATCTTACATTGTTCGGGGATAATCTTTGCTTACGAGAACCGTCATTGATTCCTTTCAATTTGATTTATTAAGAATGAATTGATTAAGATTTACTTCCATTTTTTCCTTCTATGCATTCAGAACTTTTTGACTCAATTTGTGACTGTTTTACTTGGCTAGTTGCGAAGGAAAGCATCCCTAACTACAATGTTTGATGAGGTATTAAATGGAGAGGTTTTCATTAATGGTTTTAATGCCATTTGTTGCTTATATATTGTTAGATTAATTTTATGAGGCAACTGGGCAAACTGAAAATATCTCATGAGATTCTAAGAGATTTAGATAAGAGATAGTTTGTGGATGTTGTAGGAATGTGTATGCCCTACTTCTCACATGGATGACCCCTTGAATCCATTTTAAGACAATTATTCAGTTTCAAAATAGCCTCTGGGCTATATGGAGAACACCGTTTTCTTGTACTATGCCCATACATCAAAATAATTGGACCCATGGTTGTGATGTCTAGAAGATATGATGATAAATAGTCTTCCTATTATTATTGGATATCTATTTTGATATGTTGGATTCTTCCAATTTCCGTTTAAATACAAATTATTAGAATGTAAAGTTGACTTGTTATTTTTCTTGAAGAGACAAGTTCTTTGACTTCTTTAGGCTGTGGCTGTATACATTCATTGTTAATGTCAATGCATAACCTCTTACATCAAAAGTCAATGTTTATATCAATATTTGAGCTTACGTTTATGCTTTTTAGTTAAGCCTTGATCATCTGATTGCTAAAGTATCTTATTTGTTCAGACTGTATCTCACACATGTGGAATCAGGTCATGAGATTTGGTCAGCTGGACTGAGCTGCTTGAGACTAAAACTAGGTATTTTTTACACACTTTTCAACTCATGTAAACGATTCATTCTAGCAATACTTGGCTGTTTCGATTGATATGTTTAATGGATTTCCTGGCCATGTTCTGCATTAAAACTAGGTATTTGCAAACTAGCTTCGAACTTTCAATTCCCAATTATCTTATATAGAAATTGTGAATGATAAACTTAGTCTTTGCACTAGTTACCAATATATAATATTTGCACTTAAGTGAGCCATATTTTAATTTTCTAATCGTTAATTTTAGCTTATGAGTAGTTAAATAGTTATGTTGTTAAAATTCTTTTAGGATCTTATTAGATTTACGTTCGGGTAATAAAATTTGAATTGTGCTTATGTTTGCAGGTTTTTGGATACCACAGTTGAATGTGCAACATGACGAAACCAACTTGTATTTCGACTATATGATTATTGATGCAATACTCATTTAGATATTTTTGAAGATGTGTACACGGAGGTACTATACTTTGAAGTTAGCTATAATATTCTTATGTAATATATTTGATGATATTTCTAGTTTTGGTTTTGATTATGAAATGTTACTAAGAATTTTTTTCTCCTAAGTACATGTCTCTGTTTCAAGTATTATGCATTTTAGATATTTATTATGAAAATTCTTGTACAGGATGGCCTTTAAGAAAGTTCATATATAAATATTTATTTAGGTTTGCAAGCTATGAATAAAATAATATACTGAATAAAAGTTATATAAAAATAAATTATTAGTGAGGAATTGATTGGTCATATGTAGAATTGGTGACAAAATCATTATTATATTAAGAAATAAATATATTAATATTTACGTGTATTGGTGAGAACGAAAATTGTCGTAACAAGTATTTGTAACGAAATTTGTTATTACAGACATCAACTAAATAATATTTTAAAATTGATCTTTGGTAACGAAAGTGACTTTTGTAAGGATAATATTGAGTTTTAGTGAGGACGATATTGTTACAATAAGAGAAGATATTGTAACAGACAACCATTCCTTACTAATACATTTGTAACGAAACACAAAAATTCGTCACCTAAACTTTTAGCGTCGAGCTTTAGAGGACAAAGAAAAGGTAACAATTCCGTCGTTACAAGAAGTTTTGGTGACAAAAAAGGCATATTTAGTAACGAATTTTATCCTCACTAGAACTGTGTTTTCTTGTAGTGGTCCAAGATTTAGAGTATTTAAAATATTACAATTTTAAAATATAGATCGTTGTGTGGTGATCTCTTAATGTTATTCATAACAATTTACTTAATTTTCAGGAAAAATACTGTTAGATGCACTTTGTGGGAAGCTTTTGCCGAAAGAATTGATGCATATCTTCTCAAAGATGATCACAATGGATCTATTGTGGTCATCCTTCATTTTTTTAGGACCAAGACTTATAATTTAGGTATTTTTTTAACCCTAAACCCTAGATCAACCATATATTGTTTTATTTTATTTTGTAAGATTATATTATTGATTATTTCACACCCACATAAAAATTAGGAAAAACGGGTTGATCGAATGCTCTGAATGTGTCAAACTTATTGATCAATCTGGATTTGAAGGAAGTGTTGGACTACAAGGACAAGTAAATATATTTAATTGTTCCAATTACTATTTAATAAACTCGACTATGATTATAAAACTTATTGATAAAAGTAAAGTTGCTCTCTTATTAATAAAGGTAAGGTTGTTCCTGCTAAACCCTATGAAAATGTTCCCACTCATTTGATAGTTATAAATTATAATTGTCATTTATTTAATTAATCAATTTTATTGTTTTAATATATTTAATATAATCAAGTTTAATAAAATCCGTTAAGTATCCAGACTTTTTCGCCCCAAATTTACGTATTTTTTCTCACCAAAATTGTCATTTTTACTTAATATTAATTTGATGGAACAATTATTTAATTGTTTACAAAAATACTTGGTGCTTATCTTATTAATAAAAGTAAAGTTGTTCCTCATAAACTCTTGAAATTTAATGGTATCATTGATTTACAGTAAATTTACTGAAACCCGTTATGGGTGATAAAAAAAAGATTCGTTAAACTTCAACATAAACTGAGAAAGATAAATATAAAACCCATATTACATAATAAATATAAAGTTCAATTAATAAATATGGCAAAAAAAGGTTTATGGATTGGGAATTATAATCAATATATATAGCAAAATATCAAAATGAATTGAAACTTCAATTTTATCGTTTAAATTGAACTTTAGTTTGTATTAATTTTACTTCAATCCCGTGCATCGCACGGGCCAAAAATCTAGTTAGCATAATTAGAAGAGTAAACTGCAAAATGTACCCCCGTGTAATCTCTAAATAGCAAAAACCCCCCTGTGATAAATAAACTAGCAAAAACCCCCCTGTGAAATTTAGTCAAAGGCAAAAACCCCCCTGGTTGACTTGTGTGTGGCTCACTCGCGGGTTGCGCGACTGGGAGTTGGTTTTTGGACGTGAAATGACGAAATTGACCCTTAAAATGTATTTATATGTATATATATTTTCTTTTTAATTTGATTGTTTAAAAATTAAAATATTGTTAAAAAAGTAAATAATTAAATTGAAAAATTATTAAAAATTTGTTAATCAAATTAAGTATATATTTTTTTAAATACATAATAATGAAATTTAAGTTTTCTTTTGATGTAGGGATAATTTAAAATATATACAAAAATATGTGATAATAAAAATAGAAATAAATTAAAGACCCCAATTGTACCCTTATAATTAAGACATAACAAAAATAAAATAATTAAAATATTTAAAAAATATAAGAATTTATTAATTGCAAAATCCCGGGGTATTTGGGTCTTTTTATATGAAGTCAACCCTCAAATGAGTAATGGGCCGAATGTGCTATTTAAATAATTTCACAGGGGGGTTTTTGCTAGTTTATTTATCATAGGGGGTTTTCGCTATTTTGAGATTACACTGGGGTACTTTTTGCAGTTTACTCTAATTAGAATCCACATAACTGATGAATTTAACATTATTTGTGAATTTAGAGAATTTAATTCACACTTTAAAATTTAACGAACTTTTCAAAGATCGAATAAACAATTTCAAGGCTTTGCAATAAGGCAGTAACGGATTAGTGTGGTTTACATCTCTTATATAATTTGATAACTTTTATACGAGAGTGTATATTTACACAGTACAATGCACCTTACATAGTTGGTTGCGGAATTCTTCTATACACAAAAAAAAAAAAAAAAAAGGCATACACAGATTAAACATGTATCTAGTCAATCAACCAAAGTAAAAACACAATTTATCTACTATCGAAGTGGGCACCAATTTACAATCTCCAATCCTGAAGGACATAATAATGAGGGGATAGAAATATAAGGACCCAAATGAAAATGTTTGGAGACCCACTGTATAGAGTATACAGAAGCTGCAAATTAAACACACCGTATCAGTCCAACTGTAGTTTTTCTTCACCGAAACTTCATCTGCAATCCACCCAAAGTTCTCATCTAATTTGTAGTCGGTGAGAAGGTAAATCAATCAATTTATTTTTGTTTCCTTCAAATTCAGTTCATCGTGGAGATTTTTTATTTTAGTAACGATTTTTTTTCCGGTATCAATTTCAGTTTTTCAACTTAAAAATTCTATTATTAACACGCCGACCTCTTGCTTGGGTTTAATCGTCGATATAATTTTTCGTTAATTTTTTGAGTTTTAGGTTTTAATTTTATTTTTAGTTGCTGAGTTATTGAATTCCCCTAATTGGCCGATTTGTTGTCGAGAAATTAGGTTAGATGTTGCAGTGTATTAATATGTATGCGTTTTGTTTGATTTGTGTTTCTATTTATTTACAGAATTAGTATGCTGAAACTGTTAATTCTTTCTCATGCTCTTGTTTGCATAATATTTGGCCAAGATCGAACTATGTTAATTCTGCTACTGTCAATATTTTTTAATTTTTTTTTGAAAAAAATATGATGAATAAATATCGGAATTGATATTCTGAGACCAAGCATGATTTTAGCCGTGGGTGAAGTTTTGAATGATTGATCGTGCTGGTTTAAAAATCAGTGAGCTGAAACCTGTATCGACCGTGTGATCAGATTTTCGGATGATTCTATTTGCTTATCGTAGCAATGGAGGCAGGCATGCTAGCCAAGTCTCGATCCATGAAATTCGTTTCGTTTAACATATGTAGTTGCTACTAATATATGTTTTTTTCCCAGTAATAATTTGACTGAGAAACATAATTTCATTCTTACAAATATCCCGTTAGTGAATTCATTGTGAAAACTGCATGTTTTGTTTGAGTTAATGGTTGTTCTATGCATGTTAAGAAATTTCATTAATTAACCGTGCACTGTCGTTATCGTTCCGATCGGGAGATTTTTTGGCTACATTGCTGCAAGAGGCTAATGTTTTTGAAGAATTTTTAATCAGGCAATTAACTTATGGCTTTATTTTAGCAGAGATACTAATTTTCTGCGGAAATGAGTCCAAGTGGCTATACTGTGGAAGTTACGAATTTGTCGCCTAATACAACTGAAAAGGATGTGCATGATTTTTTTGGTTTCTGCGGTGCAATTGAACATGTCGAGATTGCCAGGTAATCCCCACTCCTCGTGCAATAAGACCATATTAGTCATTACTTTATATGCTGTTTTACTCGTGACATGTAATCCCCAATCCCGTAAATTATTCTTCGAACTTTTGGCAACTGTTCCTATTATTCATTGATTAACCATTTTTTTAATATCCGAGTTGGCATTACTTTATATTGAATATGTTTTCTGTCTGTGATTTGTCATGAAAAAAACAGAAATGGTGAATATGCATGCACAGCCTACGTGACATTCAAAAATCCCCATGCTTTGGAAACTGCTGTCCTTCTCAGTGTAAGTTGATTTGTAATTAGCTCTATCTTATTACTAATGGCTAATACATAAACCGCATGGTATCAATGATTCGATATGTCGAAAAGCGCGTATTTTAATTGGACACTATATCCGGTCTTAAAAGAGCAAGAAAAAGCAAAAGCAAGATAAGGGCAAGCCTGAAATACAATATAAAGACCAAAAACGTGCATGTAGACGTGTAATAATTAATAAATTCAGATAACTTTTATATTATGACTCTGGTCTTCGCGAACTTCGTTCTGATATCTCTTCAAATCTTATTTTATCATGTTATCGAGCCCATTTCATGATCTAATCAATTTGTTTGCGTACTCGTCGACAATAAAAACAGTGAAGATTATTGACTGTTATCCATTTTAATCGAAAATGGTCAAAGAAACGGTTCTTGTAATGACAGGTGTATAAATATCCCTACACATTTTAGGGATCAACGCTGACATGCCACAGTTTTGCTACTATTCGCGTAGTTATCTAAATCTTTAATCGGTTCAATGCTTATATTAGGGAGCTACAATTGGTGATCAACCCGTTTCCATAAACCCATGGGGGCATTACGAGGATGCCTACGACCTCTGGAATCGTCCTTCGTGGAAAATCGAAGATGAAAGCAGTACAAGTGTAAATTTCCTCTCTTTCAGTTGATAATTTGTTACATTATTTGACAATTCCGTCTTTTTTTTTTTTGCCGTTATTTTTATTATTATTTTTAAATTTACGGTTTACGGGTATAAGCAGGACTCTCAAAGCATGCGACATGTTCCTACTGCTGGAGAAGCAGTGTCGTTGGCTCAAGATGTGGTGAAAACAATGGTAGGTAAAGGATATGTGCTGGGAAGAGATGCATTGGGAAAGGCGAAAGCGTTTGACGAATCTCACCAAGTTTCAGCTACTGCAGTGGCTAAAGTTGCAGAGCTGAGTGAAAAATACGGGATAACCGATAAGATATTTGCCGGGGTGGAAGCGGCTAGATCGGTTGATCAAAGGTACCATATTTCGGGTACTACAAAATCAGCAGTTTCAGCTACTGGTAGAACTGCAGCTTCTGCAGCGAGCGCTGTGGTGAACAGCGGCTACTTCTCTAAGGGAGCACTTTGGGTATCAGGTGCTCTGGGCCGGGCTGCACAAGTTGCAGCCGACTTGGGCGGTCGTGGCACGAACAAATGACCATTTTGCCCTCCACTGGTTTTATTCGTTTCCTCTGTGTATATATATACATACATAAACGTTACGGTCGGCTATATATGTCCTTTTTTTTTTTTTTTAATGTGCTTTTGTCGAATAATTCCCAAGAGATGTACATGCTGCTAAATATTGCAAGAATAATAGATAGGGTTAAATTTCCAATTTTGTTAGTGTACAACTTCTGGTCAACGGTCAACGTCCTCGTGACGCATCCTTAAAACAAAGTCATACATAAACTCTTTGAATTCAATATTGTAGGAATCATAATTAATTTCTACAACCGTTCTATTGTGGTTGCAATTGTCATCAATTGTATTTATCTAAAAATAAAAAAAACCCGATAACCCGGATCCGTTTCCGAAAACAACAACAAACCCGGATCCATTTCCAACCCGAAAAACCGAACCACACCGAATTCGTTAGATCACACTCCAATTTTCTCTCAGCTTATGCAAATCAACAAGGTGATTGATCAGGAAAAATGGATTCGGTTTCGATCCGAGTGCCGTACAAAAACTTGAAGCAGGAGGTGGAACTAGTTGGCCTCGACGAATTGGAGCTGTCGCGCTCCCCGCAGATCCATAAATCATCGTCCCCCGCCTCGGGCGGCGAAGATTCGCCGCTGGATTCTGATCGGCATCACGCGCCACCGAATCAGTGCAGCTTATTGACGCTGATCCTCAGTTGTACGGTGGCTGCCGGGGTACAGTTTGGGTGGGCCCTTCAGCTATCTCTCCTCACTCCTTATATTCAGGTAAATCCGCGCTGAATTAAGTTCGTCATTCGAGCTTAATTGTGCTAGTTGATGCATGATGATGTTTGCGAAATGCTAAGCAATGATTTTTTTCACAATAATTTAGTACATAACATAAGAATTCTGCAGATGGAGATTTTATTGGAATTTTTATATTTAAGTGATATAAAATGCATACATGCCCCTAGTTCTTTTATTATTTGCTGAGAAGGACATTCCAACTGTCAACTTGGGGGTGGAACCATTGCTAAGATTGTTTTCTGAAATTTTCTCAAGTATATTATGCCTGCCTTATAAATTATATTGCTGAATGTGTAATCATTGGATACATAAGAATTCATTCATTTGTTTAAGTTTGTGCATTCTGTTTCTCTCGGTGATTCACTTTCCTTTCTGTTTTGGTGCAGACACTTGGTATAGGGCATGAATTTTCTTCCTTTATATGGCTCTGTGGTCCGATAACCGGCCTTGTGGTATGCGGTAACAGCATTTTGTTTCAATTTAAAATGAGAATTTCACATCATGGTTCAACCTAGTATCTATTGCTTGGATATGTTTGTCGTTTTGCTTTTTCAGGTTCAACCTTGTGTTGGGTATATGGAGTGATAAATGCACTTCAAAATACGGTAGACGGAGACCATTCATTTTTGTTTGGATCTCTGAATGATCGCTGTCGCTGTACGTATGCTATGATGCTCATGTTTGTGTTTTTTTGTTGAGGGATATTGAGCACACCAGCTAAACCATTTTGTTTAATAATATAGGTCATAGTAATCGGGTTTTCTGCAGACATTGGTTACATTTTGGGGGATACAAAAGAGCATTGCAGGTCTTTGAACTTCTCAATCTTTGTCCTTGCTTTATCTCTTCTTTTCAGTTCAAGAAATTTAGTTAAACTACTTGTCACAATGCAGTACATTTAAAGGTACTCGGACCAGGGCAGCTATTGTCTTTGTAATTGGGTTTTGGATGCTGGACCTTGCAAATAACACTGTGCAGGTTAGTTTCAAAAACCTTGTGCTGTATAACATGGGAAGGATCTTTCAATTACTACAGTTTCGTCTACAAACTGAAAAATAATATTTTTTTTTAATTATTTGCAGGGTCCAGCGCGAGCTCTGCTTGCTGATTTATCAGGTAATGCCTCCCCTTCATTTGAATCTCATCTGAAAAAAATGAGGCTAGTTCATCTTTTGGCCACAAACTATTAATACCTGAAGCTGGATCTTTTACAAGTTATTTCATCTCAGTTAACCAAATCTTGAGAGTAGGTCTAGTTTTCAGCTTTTAGTATCATGCACCGTAGATGGAAAATACTTGTTTTATTTGCACATTATGTTCTTGAGAGAGAATGAGTATAACACAGTGCAAATTTGTACATTGTTTTCTTGAATTTTTAATTAAGTTTTAGCCTTGGAAATTAATAACAAAAAATGCACCTGTGATCTCCTCTCTGGCTCACCAGCAAGTCATTATTTGTCTCGCCGCAACATTAGTTTTTTTTTGTTTTTTTCACATCTGCCCACCTCGCCAATTGGATTCACATATTTGTCAGCATCAAATTGATTTTTAAAATGTCTAAAACCCAAAACAATATGTCGAAAGTAAAGCAAGGGAGGTAGAAATATACTCTGTTACAGTATCATGATTTCAAATTATTGTTCCTCTGCTTATTAATCTGTCCCCATTCCAAAAGCCACTGATGGAACCATGATAAGGAACGAAAGGAGAAAAGCATAAGCTTTCAATTTAGTTTATCGATTCCATAATAAGTATTTTCCCTAAAATTATCATTTGACAAACATCCAGCATTCTTAAATGGACAATCAAGAGATCCTCACCTCTAATTGTAGGTCCCGATCAAAGAAATTCAGCAAACGCCATATTTTGCTCTTGGATGGCTGTTGGAAACATTCTAGGATTTTCCTCTGGTGCTAGTGGAAATTGGCACAGGTGACATTTAATAATAACGTTCCATATACTCTTTTATTCTAATTTTGTAAACTAGTTCGAGTTCTGTTATTATCATGAGATTATATAACTAGAAAACGTCACATTGGAACCGATTTGCATTCTCGTCATAGTACAGCATTACACATTCATTATATAAACCCTTGGTAAGCCAGTTTTCTTACTGATTTCATGCATTTATTTGTGTTTTATGAGCAGATGGTTTCCTTTTTTGACGAGCAGAGCTTGCTGTGAACCATGTGGGAATCTCAAAGCCGCATTTTTAGTTGCAGTGGTGAGTAATTGGGTGCTTAGGAGCATTTGCTTTGTTTATGATGCTTTTGGACCACTTGTTACCAGATGTTGACTTGTTATAGATCAAGTAGCTTATGAATGGATCAAGTTGCTTATGAAATATGAATGGTAGCCTCTGCTGAAAATTCATCTCGTTTCCCTCTACTCCATTCGCCCCAAAATAATGGGGCTATTTAACTGGACATGGATTTAGGATAAGAGTTCAAAATATTGATTTGTGTTTCAACTCAGGAAATGTATTGGCAGGCAATTTTTTGTTAAATAAATTTATTTAATGAAATATTTTGTGATGTTGTGGAAAGGAAACCAGAGCACCAAATTTGGGACAAAGGGAGTAAGATAAATTGGATAATATCTTGGCAAAACCTCCCCTAAAGTTTCCAGGTGAACTATGATGTTGCTGATATGAGAATTGTCCAAGTCAGATCCCATTTTATGTGTTTTCCTTTATCAGGCCTGTTAATGTGGCCTTTGTTATCTTCTGGGTAGAGTTCTCTGTGTATCACCTTTTTGTGTGAAAAATACTTCTGAATTTCATACTGCTCTCATTAGCTGTAAATTCAGCTATTCTTATATAATTTGAAATTCTAAATTCGGCCTCCTATATAGATCTTCCTTGCACTTTGTACGCTCGTGACCCTCTACTTTGCAAAGGAAGTACCTTTGATGCCAAAGCAATCACACCGTCTATCAGACTCTGCTCCTCTCTTGGATGGTCGTCAGCCAAATGGATCCGACCTTTCAAAATCAAAAATTAATTCCAAACCCAATGAATATGCATTGGAAATCAAGCCCGAGAGGCATTATACAACGTATAATAGTGACAGGACCGCAGAAGAAACCAATCAGGAAAACGATGATTTCAATGACAGCCCTGGGGCAGTTTTAGTTAAGTTGCTAACCAGCTTACGCCATTTACCTCCTGCAATGCATTCAGTGCTGGTAGTCATGGCTTTGACATGGGTATGTGCTTTCTTAGGATCTTTTTTTTTCCCCTTCCTTTTTTCGGTTCTTCAGCTGCCCTGACAAATTGCCTTCTTTCATGTCCACTTTTATAACTCTCCTTTTATCTTATTTTAATCTTATTTCCTGTTCCAATTAGCTATCCTGGTTTCCATTTTTTCTCTTTGACACTGATTGGATGGGAAGAGAAGTTTTTCATGGTGATCCTAAAGGAGAGGCTGCCGAAATTGAAGCTTATAATCAAGGTGTCAGAGAAGGTGCATTTGGTTTGCTATTGAATTCTGTAAGAACTCAGAATCAAGTACCGTTGGACCGTTAGTTTTACTTTTTACAGATCCTAATTTCAAGCACTAAACGAGTTGCAATCATTATGCTTATAGTATCTATTATGTTTTTAACTTTATTCCTAATTTTTCTTCGATTACAGGTTGTTCTCGGAATCACCTCCTTCTTTATCGAACCTATGTGTCAGCGGATTGGAGCTAGACTAGTTTGGGCTACTAGCAATTTTATTGTGTTTATCTGCATGGCTGGCACTGCTATTATTAGCATGATATCCGTAAGACAGTATTCAGACGGGGTTCAACATGTCATTGGTGCAAATGGAACTACTAAGATTGCATCTTTGGTTGTTTTCGCTCTTCTCGGCCTCCCTCTTGCTGTAAGTGTTCAGATGCTATACTTAGTTACAAATTTAATGTTTTATTTTCTCTCTTATGTGTGAAAGCACGAGTATAAAATTCATTGCCACTCAAACTTTATTAATTTGATGCTTGTAAAACACATTGTAGATCACTTATAGTGTACCTTTTTCTGTCACTGCTGAGTTAACCGCTGACTCAGGAGGTGGACAAGGTAATGTACTCTTATCTAATTTTCTTTCGTCCGCTATTTAAAAAATATGTTTCTTTGATTGCACATGCTTGTATTTCTTTTCAGGACTGGCGATTGGAGTTCTAAACCTTGCCATTGTCATACCTCAGGCATTGTCTCATTGCTATCTACTATTATTCTACATCTTAAAAAAAATATATATATATATACATACATTTATCTATAATATATAGATATATATATATTCGTCTAGTATAGTAAGTTTGATGATTTTTTTTTCTTCTGATTAGATGATTGTGTCGCTTGGTGCGGGTCCATGGGATGCTTTATTTGGCGGTGGTAACATACCAGCATTTGCCTTGGCATCAGTTTGTGCTTTAGCAGCTGGTGTTATTGCAGTTCAGAGGCTTCCAAATCTTGCAAGCAGTTCTTTTAAGTCAACCGGGTTTCATTTCGGTTGACCAACGATGAATCAGCTTCCAAACATTTCTCGATAAAAGATAAACCTGCAGCCTGAGCATGCACATATTACTACTACTACTCTCACAGAGATGAGATTCCACACAATTCGTTCATTCTTTTACCCTGGACGGGGAAATATTATACGGTAAGTATTATTGTATGTTTTAGTACATTAAGTAAGCATATATAGCAGGCTGATATAGGCCTGATTTTCGGTATAGGAAACAAATGTAGGTCCGATACAGGTTAATGTCGATCTTTTAATTTTTCTTTTGCAACGTTGTTTAGTCATTTGTCGTTTCAGGAAACCCCGTTATGTACCATAGTCGGAACACATAAGTGATCAATACTCTTGAGATATATTATGCCTTATAGCATGTCTATGTAATACTGTTGAAATACAAATTTGATTTTTTAGATAGTCAAAATTCATATAGTTGAAAAATATTCCTAGGCAAAAATTAGACATCTCAATCAACATGATTGAGCATCTTTCTACGTTTATCCAATTGCCCACTTCTAGACATGTATTCATTTCTTGCTTGCACTCAATTTCTTTTTAATTTCAATTATTAGATTCAAGAAACTCTCCCAGTTGTGCATGGAATCTAGCTAGTACAATTATATATATATATATATATATATATATATATATATATATATATATATATATATATTTTCATTAATTTATATTTTGTAATTTGTTTTGATGGAAAATAGTGTTATAGTGGGGCATGCAGCAAATACTGCCACACTTAGAGATTTAGAAACAAGCGCACATTCATTCATTATCAGATGACAAGCTGTCGCTGATTGCCCCATGTATTCATTTCTGTGCCACCAATCACCTAGTTTTTTTTTTGTTTTTCTTTCATTATTATAAAATTGAATTTGTAATTTTAAATTAGCACATTAATTAATAGTTAGTTATAGTAGTACCCTCATTTAACCCAATGTTGTTGCATAAAATGGAAACACAAAATTTGTATTTATCAAACTTATATTAATAAGACTTGTATGCTTCAATTTGTCCAACCATAATTGGAAATATTAAAAAATATAAATATTTGTTTGTGTCATTGTGTGTGAGTTGTGTGTGTGAGAGAGAAAGAGTGGTTGACAAATCATTTTCAATATATATATATATATATATATATATATATAGAGAGAGAGATATATATATATATATATATAGAGATATATATATATATATATATATATATATATATATATAGAGAGAGAGAGAGAGAGAGAGAGAGAGAGGCACATGGGCTCCAGTTTTCAATTTCATATAAGCTGAATCAACCAAAACAATCAAGGCATGCATGTGGACTAGAAATTTCATATCTTTTCATCTTAATTAAAAAATAGAAGGAAATATTTTTATAATTATAAAATATTATATGATATATATGCATTTTTATTTAAAGAATAATTAAATTGAAAGTTTTGAAATTAGAACAGCATAAAAGGAGGCGTGGGAACATGCATCACAGTCACACTCCATTTCAATGGGTAAACTCTTTCGAGCTTCCAACTAATTATTTATATATAAATTAATAAATATAACCTAAACAGAAGAAGAAAAGACATCTGAGAGAGGGACAGAACATATAGACAAAAATATAAAGAAAAAAATTAAATTTTTTTTTTTAATTTCCTTGAAATATTATTTTAATTTGTATTTATCCATGCATAGTGCATACTCTGTTGTGGTGACTGTGTTGCAGAATTGTTGGTGATGGGAAAGGAGATAAACGAGAGAGGGTCATGCATGCATGTAGTGATGGTGCACGATAAGTGTTGCTGTGGTGTTAAGTACCAAATCCTGCCCCCTCAAATGGGACCCACCCCTGGATTTCTGCCCCCCCCATCTCTCTCGCTATACTTTGATCCACGGCTCACTCATGTATTTTCAAGATGGCGCCACCAAATTTGGACTGGGGTTACATTGGATTTTTCTTACATATATAAATAATTTAATTTGTTGTTTCCATTGCATAATAATTGGCGGCTTTTTTTTATCATTCAAATGCGATAAATAAATTAAATAAAAATTAAATTTAGCAACATAATATTTTTAAATGGATGAAAATAATAATAAAATATATTATTAAAAAATATTACTCCTTCCGTTCCAAATTAACTGTAGCTTTGGGGAATTTTTTTTGTTTTAAATTATTGTCACTTTAGAATTTCAATGAAACATTAATTATTATTTCTCAATTTTACCCTTATTATTCATTAATTGACTGGGAATTAATTGAAAGAGCATTAATAACATGGATATTTATTAAGTTATTCTATATATTTTTCTCTAAAATCGACACACATTTATTAGTTTACTTAATATGTGCGCAACAACCCAAAGCGACACATATTTTAGTAAGGAGGGAGTACTATTTTAACTCCAACTGAATATGAAATCTTACCATTACACCACGTCACACATTATATAGTTCTACAAGTGTTACGGGGGGAATTGTTAGACGGGGAGATATCTCAAGGGTCGCAATTGTAATTTCACAAAACAAGACGAGGATATTTGTAATTTAGTCACACCTCACGGACTTTGTAACATCAATTCAACATAATAAAGTAACCTCATTGAGCATTCTAATTAGAACAACAAAGCAACCTTTTTTCTAGTGTAAAATTCAACCATTAAATTCTACACTATCTAGCTAGGTTCTATCTGAATCGTAGATATTTTTATTAATGTGAAAAAAGTCAAACATAGGGCTGAACATGAATCGGGTCGGGTAATTACCGGCCAATTATATCAGCTTGCAATTTCAAATGACAACTGTCTATGTAGAAAATTATGCATCCGATTTCACCCCATATACCTAACCTCTCCTTTTTTCAAATAAATTTTGATCTGAAGTATATAATTATCCTGTATGTATACCTACATATAAATATATAATATATATAATATAAGGCATATTTCCCTTCAGAGAAATGAGCTACATGTGATTAATTCCCTGCCATCTTTTTCAATCATATATTATATATATATTTTTTCATTTTTATTATAATAATTGTCTCTCTTTTCAACCATTTTGTCCAATTAAAAGAAACGAATGATAGATCACACACTAAATTATTAATTCTTGAATAAAATTAAATAAATGGGCTTCTTCCACTCCAATTTCATGCTGCAAATCAATCCACAACAAGAAGATGATCACCACACTACACAATTTCATGGTATAACTTTATTTAATTTATGCATTTGATTTTCAAGATTCTTTTTTATTTTTTTAATTAATTTGTGTGTGTGTCTCTCTCTATATATGTATATGTATATGTATGTATAGGTGTGGCGTCTTCGCTGCTAGGGAAGAGACCGTTGGACGAAGATTATACGAACAATAACAACATTATTAATCATTGTGGGGACGATGAACTATCGGACGACGGATCAAACATCGGAGAGAAGAAGAGGAGACTGAACATCGAACAAGTTAGAACGCTCGAAAAGAGCTTCGAGTCTTGCAATAAGCTCGAACCGGAGAGGAAGATCCAGCTGGCACGTGCCCTAGGGTTACAGCCACGTCAGATAGCCATTTGGTTCCAAAATCGAAGAGCGAGATGGAAGACCAAGCAGTTGGAGAAAGACTACGATCTTCTTAAGAGGCAGTTCGATGCTGTTAAGCTTGAAAACGACGCGCTTCTGACATTGAACCAGAAACTTCATGCTGAGGTATATATATACATATATATACATATCTATGTGTGTGTGTGTTTGTTATTAAAATTTGAAACTCTTACTTAACCCTACTCTAATTACTCACCATCTTCCAAAAATGAAGCAAATTTGCAATAAAATGTTGTGTATGATTTAGGGGTCCTAGTCGGAACGGAATTTCCGAGTTCTGCGGATTTTAATATGAAATTTTCTAACTTTGGGAAAGTTGGATATCGGATATCCCGATTTCCAAATTTTTTTTGGATTAGAATTGAAATTATTTTTGGAAATTCAGATTTCCGATCCAATTTTGATATACATAAATACTTTCGATTTTTGCGAAATATATTATACTGTATTGTATGTAAAAATATATTACATATTTTATAATTTAATAAGTGGGACTATAGTAGTTTTTATTTATATGTCATTAAAAAACACAATTCATTTGTTATATTTTGTTTTTTGAAATTTTCGAAAATTCCAATTAAATTTACCGAAAGAAAATTGGTTCCAGTTGTGTGATATCTTTCCGAATTTTCGGAATCTCCGGAATCGGAACACATTTTTTGAATTCCAAAAAACTTTGGAATTGAAATCGAAAGTGTTATTTAATTTTCGAAAAGATCTGTTTCCGAACCGATCCATACGACTTTGCACCCTAATCTGATCGTACGAGTTATAATTGTTTGATGAAGATAAAGGCGTTGAAGAAGAGGGAGCCGACGGAGTCGATAAACCTGAACAAAGAAACGGAGGGTTCGAGCAGCAACAACAGAAGCGAAAACAGTTCAGAAATGAAGAATATTGCATTATCAGATATTAATTATTATTCATCAAGAAATGATGCATCAATTGACGGCCCGTTAACTGCAGCAATAATCAGGCCTCTTTTCCCGTCAAGAGTAACGGACAATATCCAAACCGCCGTTAAGGAAGAAAGCCGCAGTAGCAGCTTGTGTAACTTGTTTTGCAGCATGGATGATCAGACTGGGTTTTGGCCTTGGCTAGACCAACCAAATTTCAATTAATTATTTATTATTTATTATTTAGTTAATTGATTATATTATAACAATTCAAAATTTATATATATATGTGTGGTTTATTTTATTTATTTATTTATTTATGTTAATTAAAAATTTAAAAACCCCCCACAAAGAAAGGAGGGGTGTATATCCCTACATAAGTGTCGCATTCAATACTATCGAATTAGTCCAGTTTTGCTAACAGTAGAAACCAATCAATCAATCAAAAATGGTAAAGGAAATATATTCCATTATAAATTTTTGGAATTTTTTTCTAGAGAGAGAAAGAGGGGAGGAGAGAGAGAGAGAGAATCACACATTCCAAGAATGAGGAATTGGAGATGACAAAGAGATTGAAGATGAGAGAAGAAAACAAAAAAGGGGCCATTTGCGAAAGCAGCTTTTTTCTTTGCTTCTGCTGACAAAGTGACACTCAAAATGTGCATGGAATCTTATTATTATTATTATTATTATTATTATTATTTTGGATGCACTTGATCCCAAACTCGTAATGAGAGACATAGGAACATACTTATAGCTCATAATTAAATTAACCAAACATGTAAATAGTTTAATTGTCATTATAGATTATTAGTTCATTCCTACTAATTCTCTATATATTCCTGGAATATGTGGTTGACTTAGGCATCAGAGGTTTTTCGTCGTCAGAACGTAGCTCCAACATGTGTTGCGGACGAGGCTCCACTAATTGAAGAACACTGTCGAAAAGTCGTTGATGATTCAAAACTTACATTTAGGTGAATCGTTTTAATAAATTGTTGATGGCATCATTTTCTGGGATAATGGTGCTGATGAATCGAATTTAATTCCATCCAAGAATTTCACTTTCCCATTCGAAATTCATACTTATATATTTGGATTTTGGCAATATATACACTTTACTTCCATATAATGAATTCAAATTCCTTCGGTGTCACTAGCAAATACAAACTTGCACGTTTTATTTTGGAATTTGCCCCTAAATATATATACTGCGATTACATGCATCCGATGATTATTTGATCAAGGGACGTAATTTATAATTTGAAATAAAATAAATAAACAAATAACATATATAGTATGGTTCCTATATGGAGAGAACATTAATTAAGAAGTAGCATATTAAAAATATTAATTAGGGACAGCTAATTAATGAGCAGTAATTAATGTATATAGAATAGTTGGAAAGTGAAGATCAACCTGGGATCATGTGCACATTATTTTTCAAATTAAATCACACTTTCAGATCCAATATTATTATATATATTCCAGCAATTAAAAAATTCTTTATATTAATTAAGTGTGTATATAAGGTCCTCAACCGGCCACATGCATCCATGCAAGAAAATATAAAATGGAGCTTTGCCTTTATCTAAACCACTGGTTTAGAGAAAAAAAAAAAAAAAAAAGAATATATATACTAGATTTAATAAATTATTTTTAAATAATTCTAATTCTTTATTCTCCAAAAAGAAAACGTTTTGAAAACATGTTTAAACAATTAGAAATAAACGGTCGAGATATCTTCAGACATAGTCAAGCCCAAAATAATCAATGTATACATTTTTTATGCCCGAATTTAAGTGTTATGGCCCAACCATTTAAGTAATCAGGCCCAATATTTTTAACAATAAAAAAATATTACAATAAATTCACATTCTTCCACCAACCAAAATCTGCCACGTCAACTACCCTAAGCCACTGAAAATTCTCAAAAACAAAAAAATCCCGGAAAGTAGTAATAGAGCCTCATCCACTACCAACTGTTCTTCTCAAACGGATAATCCACGCGCGCCCATGGCCACCGCCGCCGCCACCACCTCCTCCGCCTGCATACCCTTCTCCTCCCACCACCACCACTCCCCCTACTCAATCACCAAACTATCCTTCACAAGGCGGCCGATCTCCAAATCCCCCCGCCTACTCACAACAAAGCTCCACGTGTCGTCTTCCAAGCCAACCCCCACCACCGCCGGCGCCGGCGCCGCCACCACGGCCAAGAAAAACGAAGAAGCCATATTCTTCGACGGCGGGGCTCACTACGGAGACCTTCTGGCGAACCTGATCCTGGGATTCACTCTGCTCTGGCTGCCGCTAACACTGGCGGCGGTGTTCAGGGCGTTTTACCTGAGGTACAGGTTCACTAACCTGCGGGTGACGGTGATATCAGGGCTGACGGGGCAGGACAGGAGCGACTTCTCGTACGACGTCGTAAAAGATGTGCAGGTTGTACCGAGGTTTATCGGAGAGTGGGGTGACGTTATCATAACCCTAAGAGATGGAACCAAGGTTGATTTGAGGAGTGTGCCCAAGTTTAGAGAGATTGCTAAGTACTGTTTGTCTATGGCCGAGAAGCCTGTTGTTTTGAAGGAGAGTGGTGTTAAGGGGTTTTGAGATATATGGCTTTTTTTACTTTTTTTTTTTTTTTTGTTTACAAGGTTTGTAATAAATTTAGAAAAAAAAAAAGATTGCATTTGTATGAAGTGAGTACATTTATTTTGTTCATGTTGTTGTATGTGATTAATTGGTTCTACTGTTTGTTGTATATATTGTTGATTAATGATCTGCGGGATTTCGATACGTTGTTCGAGCGGTTGAATGTCTTTGATCGCATTCGTATTTACTTGGTAGTTGTTTCAAATTCGAATTTGAAGATTTGAGTTATAAAAATTAGAGTTATGTTTATGCGTACCCCTCCG